GGCCTCGGCGCGAGCCCGCGGGGAGCCGCGGCTGCCTTGGCGACCGGCTTCCCGGCTTCCCGGCTTCCCGAGAGGCAGGTGGGTGCTGGGCCCCGGGGACCGCGCCGCGCCGCGCCGTGGGAGCGCGCTCGAGCTGGGGTGGAGACTCGACTCAGGTCCCTGGGACCCTCCCGCCCCAGCTTCCGCCGCGCAGGGCGGCTGGACAGGCTTTGCGGGGACTCCGGCTCCCTGGACCGTCTCTAGCGAGCCCCGGGTGGGGAGGAAGGCTGGGCAACCCAGGCCCGGAGCTCGCCGCCCCCAACCCCACTTCCGGAAATGGAAGGCGCCGCGGGAAGGAGGGAGCCAGGGCCCTTTGTTCTAGTCTTGGCTGTGCCTGTGACTCCCGGCGTGATTTGGGGCACGGTCCTAGCCTCCGTCCACCCGCATGCAAAATGAGAGGGTCTTTGGATGGGTCTCCCTAAGGTCCAGACTGACTTAAATTCATTTCCTGGACAAACTAACCGTGAGGCTCGTCGCTGTCTCAGCACCAGCTTGGCTGCACCCTGAACTCTGGCCCCGCGGGCTTCAGCTGGACGGCCTTGCGCCCTCTGGAATCGGCTCTGGAGCAAGAAGCCGCACCCAGCCTCTGGACGGCAGGCTGAGGAATTTGCCCTGCATTGAGTTAGTAATCCTCTCATCGGCTCTCCTCCCCGGGGTGGCGGTGGGGGGGCACACATTACTTCTCCAGTAAAGACGAGAAAGCTGGGGCTCCAGGAGGGTTAGAGATAGGTAGGAACAACCTGCCCTGTCCTGTCTTTTCTCTTGTACTGTACAGGCTCACCAAATCATATTAATTTTTTTTTCCAAATATATCTAAACATGGTGCACTAGAAAGACTGACCAGAGTCTGGTTGTGGATTCAGTGTGGCCTTGGGCAAGTATCTGTCCTCTCTTGCTCAGTTTCCCCTGCTCAGCAGTGAAGATGTTGATCAGATGGTCTTCAAGGGCCTTCTGTCTTTGACATTGCTAATAATAGTAATAGCAATCTTAATAGTTGTTTCCTTACTTTGACCTACAAGACCCTACCTGGACTGGCTCATTTACCCAGAACACCAAGTTCCTAGCCCTGCCTCAGGGTCTTTGCATTTGCTGTTTCTACTATCGGGTGCACTTAACCACCTCTGCTTCTTGCACGTTCATTCTTCAGATCTCCACTTCACTTGCTTATGAAATTTCCTGACAACAAAGACTAGGTTGAGTCCTTGTATTTATTTACTTATTTTTTATTTATTGAGTTGAGGCCTCACTCTGTCTCCCAAGCTAGAGTGCAGTAGCATGATCACAGCTCACCGTAGCCTCTACCTCCTGGGCTCAGGTGATCCTTCTGCTTTAGCCTCCTGAATAGCTGGAACTACAGGTGGGAGCACCACTACGGGTGACTAACTTTTTAAATTTTTTGTAGAGATTAGGTCTTGCTAAGTTGCCTAGGCTGGTCTCCTGGGCTCAAGCAATTCTCCTGTCTCAACCTCCCAAGACCTCCCAAAGTGCTGGGATTACAGGCATGAGCCACCATGTCCGTCTGGATCCTTGGATTTGTATCCTCATGGTACATACTGACTTCATTTTACTTAATTATCTGTGTAATTCATTGTCTGATATGTATATCTCCTATTCTATAAATGCCACAAGGGCTGGAAATGGGTCCTATTCCCTAGCTCTAGCTCATAAAGATGCCTAGAATTTGTTGTGGAATGAATGAATGATCTCATTTAGCCCAGCATCTTCTGAGGTTGGTGTCGCTGTGCTTCTTTTACACATGGAGCCGGGATTCGGAGAGTGACTTTCCTAGGGTCGCACTGTTGGCAGCATCAGAAATTGAACCCAGTCTGTCTGACATCAAGGCCTGAGCATCCACCTCACCTGCTGCTTTTTGTTCCAGGATTTTGTGCTGTGAAGACATTTCTCAAGTGCCTCATGTCAGCCAGCATGTCTTACCCATGAGGCCTGGAAAGAGAAGACTGTTAGGTTGTGGAGGGGTGGTCTTGTTCAGCTCAGCTTCCCCTTGGACTGACTGTGGGTCCTGAGGCAGAACTACTGGCCCTCGCTTCCTCCATGGCGCACCGGCTGCAGATACGACTGCTGACTTGGGACGTGAAGGACACACTGCTCAGGCTCCGCCGCCCTGTTGGGGAGGAATATGCCACCAAGGCCCGGGCCCACGGGCTGGAGGTGGAGGCCACGGCCCTGGGACAAGCCTTCGGGCAGGCGTACAGGGCTCAGAACCATAGCTTCCCCAATTATGGCCTGAGCCACGGCCTCACCTCCCACAAGTGGTGGCTGGATGTGGTCCTGCAGACCTTCCACCTGGCGGGTGTCCGTGATGCCCAGGCTGTGGCCCCCATAGCTGAACAGCTGTATGAGGACTTCAGCAGCCCCTGCACCTGGCAGGTGTTGGAGGGGGCGGAGAATACCCTGAAGGGGTGCCGCTCACGGGGTCTGAGGCTGGCGGCCGTCTCCAACTTTGATCGACGGCTAGAGGACATCCTGGTGGGTCTTGGCCTGCGAGAATACTTCGACTTTGTGCTGACCTCTGAGGCTGCTGGCTGGCCCAAGCCAGACACCCGCATCTTCCAAGAGGCCTTGCAGCTTGCTCATGTAGAACCTGCAGTGGCAGCCCATATTGGGGACAGTTACCGCTGTGATTACCAGGGAGCTCGGGCTGCAGGCATGCACAGCTTCCTGGTAGTTGGCCCAGAGCCTCTGGAACCCGGAGTCAGGGACACTGTACCTAAAGAACACATCCTCCCCACTCTGTCCCATCTCCTGCCTGCCCTTGACCGCCTGGAGGGCTCAACTCCAGGGCTGTGAGTCTGGCAAGAGAAGTGGCTGGGCCCTAGGCCATGGAGAAAACCCTAAACAAACACTGGCGCCAGAGACTGACGCCAGCTCTGGACTTTGCCCTCTCTCTGTAGCCTTCATACCCTACCCTGATAATAAACCAGTGAGTGCTGGGCATTTAGCCTTGCCCCACTAACTAGCTCCTGGTCCCTGAGTTTACTCATTCTCATTCACACCTGTGTCCTCGTCCACCATGAGTCCCTTCCCATCCAACAAGATTCACTGAGGACCCAACTGGCTTCAAAACCAGGCACTCGCAAACTTGGCTGTAGCAACAGGGCCCTTTTCTCATGGGAAATCTGTACCCTCAATTAAGCAAAACAGAAAAGAACCCTTAGAAACTGCCAGAATTGAAGCAGAGGCCCCAAGGCCTCTTATTCAGCTTCTGAGACACACTCCCCCTGAAAACTAGGGTGCAAGTCGAGCTGAAAGGTTACTGTCTGGTAGCACTGCATAGGACAAACAGGAGTTTAATGGGAGCACCGGGCAGTCCTGAGAAGAAACCCTGTGGACTTATGCCTGCCCTGTGTGTGGTACTCTACTGAGTTTTTTGGTTTTTTTAGATCGGAAAATATAGTTTATTTAAAAAGTAAATTAGAGACAGAAAGAGGTGATTCACCTCCCCAAGGAGGGGGCCAAAGCTTGAGAAAACAGGGCCTGGCCATAGCTCAAAGAGCACGTGGTTACACCATAGCTTAGCAAGGCAGTGACCTCTGCTAAGCTCTTTACATGCAGGTAGAACCCTTAAAGCTACCTGGGCAAGGGCATGATCCCTTCTTTACACATGAGGAAATTAGAAGTCAGAGGTTAAGTAGCCTGCCTGAGGCCCCAGCTAGCAGGCCAGGGAGCCAGGTTTCAATATAGGCACATCAAACTCCAAAACCCACTGGCTTCATCACTAGGTTGCCAGTAGACAGGGGTCCATGTCACATGAGACGGCAGTGGAGATCCTGGGGGAATAGGGAATGTCATCCGAAAGAATGTCAATCTTGCCAGGCTTGGTGGCTTACACCTGTAATCCCAGCATTTTGGGAGGCTGAGGTGAAAGGATTGCCTGAGCTCAGGGGTTCGAGACCAGTCTGGCAACTAGGCAAGACCTTGTCTCTACAATTTAAACAAAAATTAGCCAGTCATGGTTAGTTCCAGCTACTTCAATCGAAAGGCTGAGGAGGAAGGATGCCAGAGCCCAACAGGTCGAGGCTTCAGTGACCGTGAGTGTGCCACTGCACTCCAGCCTGGGTGACAGAGTGAGACTCCAACTCAAAAAAAAAAAAGAAAAGGATGTCAATCTTGAAGGGCACCCTAGTCAGGGACCAGCGTGGGAATAGGAAGGCACAGGAACAAGGACTGGAGCTCAGGGTGACAGGAGTATAGGGAGTGTGGGGGGAATGGTGGGAAGGTGAAGAAATAGGTTGGGTTTTTATTTCCGTCTCTTCCTGCCTCTTCCCACACCTTTCCACTTGGCATTTGCTGGACATTACCGCAGACTAAAAACAGTTAAATTCACTGAGGGCCCAACTGGCTTCAAAACCAGGCACTTTCAAACTTGGCTTTAGCAACAGGGGCCTTTTCTTATGGGAAATCTGAAACCTCAATTAAGCAAAACAGAAAACTGTTAGAAACTGCTGGGAATTAGAAACTGCCGGGAATTGCATGGTGTGTGCCTGGTGCTAACAGCCAGGGAGGGCTCCGGATTGGACCTTGAATTGAGAGTTGGTATGGGGGATGACAGGTAGATGGGCAGGGATATGCAGGGG